TGTTGAAGAGTATATCAATTATTAAGTGCAGAGTCAATGCTATTTTGGTTACATCTACAATGAGAAGATTATTTCCAGGAATGCCATACAATTTGCTTCAGGCAACCCCAGCCCCAATCTTTCCTCTGAGGGGAAATATAATAGCACTGGCCATAGAGGGGAGGAAGGAGAAGCTTGTGGGCTTGGGAAATACATTATTTCAAGGGACTGAAGGGTAAGAACAGCAGGTGTTTTTGAAAGCTGATTTCTAAATGATTTAATTTTGGTTCATTAATGCTGGTAAAGGCAGCGCTGCTCATTGTAGAATGGATAGAACACAGTGGGGGACTTTCATTCATTTTGAAAATATCTTTGAATCTCTCAAGCTGTTTGAATATTCCCTGTGATATGAAAAGGGGCAGAGTCAGGAAATCCCCCCCCCCCCCCCCACAGCTTTTCCCCATCCTTCCTGTCTGGGCTCAAGCTCTGCTTTGCTGGAGAGCTTCTCCCCTATCTTGAGCACCCAATCAAGGAGTTAGGAAGGAGTTGGGTGGGATGTCAATCGACCACTAGGGCAACAACCTCTCCAATTTCCTTATATCCTATAATTCCTGAGCCAGGACATATGGATCCTTTTAGATCCACATGGGCACTCTGGTGATATAGTGCCTAAGGCATTTGACTGCTAACCAGAAGGCTGGTGGTTCAAACCCACCAGCCATGCCTCAGAAGGAAGACTGGGCAATCTACTTCCATAGAGATACCACCTTGGAAACCCAGGGAGGGGTTGCTATGAGTCAGATTTGACTCAAAGGCAGTGAGTTTGGTTTTTTTTAGATACACATACAATCCTTTTTGGATAGTTTTTTGTAACAGCTTTATTGAGATATAATTCCCATACCATAAAATTCACTCATTTGAAGTATAAGATTCAATGGTGGACAGTTCTTTCCTTGCAGCCTCTTATCTGCCTATCCAGGGACAATTATGGAGGGATCATATAACCCAGACACAACTGGCACTGATACCAAGGATTTTTCTGCCTAAAGCATTTGCTGCTGTTGTTATTAGCTGCTGTCTAGTTGGCCTTGACTCACAACAACCCCATGCACAACTCAATGAAATGCTGCCTGTTCCTGTCCCATTTCTGTGATCCTTTGCAGTTCTGATTGTTGTGATCCATGGGGTTTTTATGATGTGATTTCTGGAACTAGATCACAAAGCGTTTCTTTCAAGTCCTTTTTTAGTCTGGACGTTCCATTGAAGCTTGTTTAGCATCACAACAACATGCAAGCCTCCACCGACATGAGTGGTGGCTGCACATGAGGTACATTGGCCAGAATTGAACCCAGTCTCCCACATGGAAGTGGTAATGCTACTACTGAACCACTAGTGAGTGCCTCAAAACATCTGGTAGGTAAGGAGTAACATGGGTACTTATTGACCCAGGGCTGGAGCATGCTAAATGAAGTAAGATTTTGCTTCCCTTACATCATCTCATTTAATTCTCCTTTGACATACGTGGTGTAGTGCCTAAGGTATTTGACTGCTAACCAGAAGGCTGGTGGGTCAAACCCACTAGCCACTCCTTGAAAGGAAGATTGGGCGATCTACTTCTGTAGAGATACTACCTTGGAAACCCAAGGAGGGGTCGCTATGAGTTGGATCCAATTCGATGGCAACACATATGCATTGACAAAAGTATCATCATCTCCATTCAGTAAATGAGAAAACTAAGGCTCAAAAACGTTAAGCAACTTGCAGCCAGGATTTGAATCTAAAGAGAGCCTAATAACCACTCTGGACTTTATTATATGGACAATTTATAGCACTGTAGATCTCTAGTCCTTTTAGGTTCTTGAACCAGGGAATGACTTGATGAAAATGGATTGAAGGAAGAGCTGTCTGGCGGTATTACATAGGATTCACAGAAGTAGGAGAGAAACTGGAATACAGAGAAAAAAGGTAGAAGGTTGTGGCAGCAATTCAGACACTGCAGATGGTACAGAAGAGCGACAAGAGTTTGGAAGGAGAACACCTAGTTCTAGCCTTGTCTCTCTCCCAATGCTGCTGGCTAGGGAACCTTGGGCAAGCTACAACCACCACCCTGAACCTTTGTTAAACTAAACCAAACCCACTGCAGTCTAGTCAATTCTGACTCATGGCGATGCCATGTGTTAAGAGTAGAACTGCTCCATTGGGTTTTCTTGACTGTAATCTTTACAGAAGCAGACTGCCAGGCCTCCCTTCTGTGGTGCTTCTGGGTAGGTTTAAACTATCATCTGTTAAGTTAGTAGTTGAATGCAAAGTGTTGTGCACCCAGGGACTCCGGAAACTTGTTACTTGTCCTTATAATGAGTTGATGAGACAAGACTAGATAATCTCTAGCTTCTTTCAAACTCTAAAGTTCTGTCTGATGCCTTTAAATTTTAATGCACTCTAAAGATTGACACACAAAGACCCTACATATCATCCAGGAGCTCTGGTAGCATAGTGCCTAAGGCATTTGACTGTTAACCAGAAGGCTGGCGGTTCAAACCCACCAGCCACTTCTTGGAAGGAAGGTTGGGCAATCTACTTCTGTAGTGATACTGCCTTGGAAACCCAAGGAGGGGTCACTATGAGTTGTATCTGACTCAAGGGCGATGAGTTTGGTTTAGTTTACATATCATCCAGTAAAGAACTTAGATGTAATAATTCTCAAATAACCTTCTCAAAATGTAAGGAATGGAACTGTCATTAAGAATGGTTTCTAAACCTGATTATATTGAGGCAAGTCAAATATTTATGCATCTTACTGTTTTCTTTGTTTAAGAAAATGATTTGAGTATTGCTGCAGCAGCAGTGGCTTAATGATATTAAAATCAAATATTACTCTTGAAACAAATGAAATGATTTAAACCTTTCTCTCTGAGAAATTTTATGAAACTCTACCTAAGAGGCACAAATTGTATTGTCATCAAATTAGTTATCTAAGTTCAAATTTAATTTAAAATATTTTTTTCAACTGATTCAATCAACAGACTTTCAAGGGATTTTAGATGAAGAGCACAGAAAATATACGTTGGAGGAAATTATACATATAATAGTTGTTCTGTGTTCTGTTACTTGTGGTGCTTTTAGAAACTATTTTTTAACAATTCTCTAAGGAATTGGTTCTTGTTGGTGTGAAACCAGGCTCATTTCTCTCAGTTCACATCCAAAAACTTTTCTCCATCCTCATGTCCCTAACAAATGCATTTTCAAGGCCTGCTGAGTCCTTCATCTCATGTGATTCTCAGAACTGGCCTTTTTCCTCATCTAAACAGATACTGAGGTTGAGCTATCTTTCCTGGGTTGCTGAAATGGCCTCTGTGGAACAACCCAAAAGGCAAAGGAATCTTTCTGAAATAAAGGCTTTCATCAGTCATTTATATTATTAAAACTTTGAGATGCCACAGCTTATAGGATCAAATCTAAATTCTGCAGTTGAGATTCCCCCATTGTTACAGTCAGGCAAATGCACTAGCTTTCTTTACAGACTTTAATCCACCACATCATTGAGATTTTGCCACTTAGAATGCTTTGCTCTTTCTCTCTGCCAACTCATGACCATCATCTCACTTATGCCTTAAAACTCACCTCCTCCAGGAAGTTTTCCTTGTGCAGTAGCTATTTAGCACATACACAATTCCTGTTTTTGAGTTTTTAATCACATTAAGTGTTTTTGAGGTAAACTATCCAAGTCTAGGCGGAAAGATAAATTTATAGAAATGTTCTATCTTTAAGAAACCAAACAGTGATTTTACTTGGTGAGAGCATTCCGGGTTTTAGGTGATTGCCTTTTCGCTGGGAATCCACACTAGGATTAGAGCAAAATGACTCTCTATGGTGACCTCTAGTGGGCGAAGGGCAATCCTACAAAACTTTAAAGTGAAGCGTAAGGTAAAACCTTTCCAAGACCAGACGGATTACTCTGGTCAGGTGACCGCATCCTACCCAACCTCACCCGTCTTTATTCTTCCAGTATTTGTTTTGCATCTAACATAGGTTGCCTTACAACTCACCTGTTTCGCCTCTGCCAGGTAATGTGCGGGCTGGGCTGCCGATGTCTGATGTCGTGTGAATTGCTGATTAACAGTTTAAACAATCCCTGCCAAAGGAACCCACTGCCTGGACATCAACCTGGGCGCGGGGCAGTTCGTTCTGTGAAGGGGCTCTTCATGCTCTGAGGGCTGGTGCTGTAGCCGGTTCGAGGGTGCATGGGGGAAATCAACACATGTGATAAGGAAGCAACAGATAAAAACAACGAGGAATTCGGTTTTTGCCTGTGGCAAGACGATTGTCCCCAGACTTTCATCCCATTCCACGGGAAGCGTCACGAGGGGTCCAGGAGCGCTAAACGTCAGCGCCCTCTCAGGATGCGCGCCGCAGAAAGCGGGGACTGGGGTTGCTCCTGCTCCAGGAGACAGGCGGACCCGAGTCACTAAGGCAGGATGCTGGGGCGTGGGTCTGCCTTTAGAGCACGCGCTACGTGGGTCTCCCCGTACGGGAAGAAGAAGAGCAAAGACGGCAGGAAAAGCAGTAGCTGGGGTGGCTTCGCTGAGAAATCCTTTGGGGCGGTCTTAGAAATCAAGCTGGCCTTCAAATAGTTTCTGGAAAAGCTCTCCAAAAGCCGTCGGTCTCCTCCTTCGGCCCCCCCCCCCCGCTCCACCCTCCAGTGCTCACCTCCGTACCCCTCACCATCCTCACCACCTCCCTTGTGGGGCTGTTAAAAGGGCGCCTGCCGGCTCCTCAAGTCATCCCCACGTTCCAGGGAGGAATGAGGCAGCCGGCACCCCGGCCGTAGTGCTTTGCTTTCCCTCTTCAGTCAGGGCTCCCTACTCCTCGCATCCCCTCCCGGTGGATCCCTCTCGGCCGCTACAGGCCAGAGCTCAGGGAGAGGATGGCGTCGCGGGGCGCGGAGCCCGAGGTCCAGGGCGGGGCGCAGGGAATCCCAGCTTGAGCGAGTCCCGGAGGAACGAGCGCGGGCGACAAGAGGAGGAGGCGCGCAGAGTGCAAAGTGGAGACGAGAGGAGGGAGGACCGCGAGGGAGGCCCCGCCCCCGCCTCTGAGAGCCGGCTCCTTGCCGCCTCCAAACCCGCTCACTTTGCCTCTCGCTTCTGGACGGCCGCGGGGCGGCTGCTGAGCCACGGTTCTAGAGAGCGCCGGGGACTGGGGAGCGATCCCACACCGGAGCCTTTTTGCTGCACCTGCGCCCCTCAGAGGGAACGGCATCGCAACCTTGTAGAGGCACCCCAGCTTCGGAGGGGTCATCCCCTGGGCGCGAGGGACTGTGGCACTGACACAGCCTCCTTCTCTGCCAGTGGGGCGCAGCGCTGGCTCCGGAGGGGACTCCTTGGCTACCCACAAGTACCGTCACGCGGAGGGCGGGTAGCTAGCAGCGAGGCTGGACTGCTAAGGAGGTTAGAACTCGGAGGGGCTTCCGGGTCAGGGCAAGGCAAGAGCGAAGCCCCGAGGGAGAGGGGCCTGAGAGCCCCGACAGTGCGCTCTCCGGGCTACAAACAGCAGACAGCCCCCGTGCGGCGGCCGGGGGGCGGCGGCAGTGCCTCTGGGCCGAGGGGCCCCGGGGCGGCCAGCCATGACCTTCGGGCGCAGCAGGACCTCCTCGGTGGTGTTGAACGTGGGTGGCGCCCGCTACTCACTGTCCCGGGAGCTGCTGAAGGACTTCCCGCTGCGCCGCGTGAGCCGTCTGCACGGCTGCCGCTCAGAGCGCGACGTGCTCGAGGTGTGCGACGATTACGACCGTGAGCGCAACGAGTACTTCTTCGACAGGCACTCTGAGGCCTTCGGCTTCATCCTGCTCTACGTGCGCGGCCACGGCAAGCTCCGCTTCGCGCCGCGGATGTGCGAGCTGTCCTTCTACAACGAAATGATCTACTGGGGTCTGGAAGGTGCCCACCTCGAATACTGCTGCCAGCGCCGCCTCGACGACCGCATGTCCGACACCTACACCTTCTACTCGGCAGACGAGCTGGGCCGCGACGAGACGAGACCCAGCGGCGCCGAGGCAGCCCCCTCCAGACGCTGGCTGGAGCGCATGCGGCGGACCTTCGAGGAGCCCACGTCGTCGCTGGCAGCGCAAATCCTGGCCAGCGTGTCGGTGGTGTTCGTGATCGTGTCCATGGTGGTGCTGTGCGCCAGCACGCTGCCAGACTGGCGCGCGGCGGCCGCCGATAACCGCAGCTTGGATGACCGGAGCAGGTACTCTGCCGGCCCTGGGAGGGAGCCCTCCGGGTAGGACGCACTGCTTCTTTGCCCTTACAGTCCGTCCTGTCCAGTCTGTCCGTCCCGTCACCGTTCTGTCTGCCTTTGGGCGGCCGAGCTAGACTGTGCTTAATCGCCCTGCGAGGCCCCAGGCGTGTCCAGCTAAAGGGATGGGTTGGTCCCCAACTCTGTCCGCATTTCCTGGGCACAAGCTGGGTCTGGCTCGCTTTTGAGGGTTAAATCACCTGGAACGAAGAGGGTGGCTAGAGAGAGACACAAATCTCTCATCTTTGTAGCTTACTTTTGAGCAAATAGCATCCGTCTAATTAGGTTTCTCTAAACTTTTATTATTCTTATTCAGCTCTTTAACCTTGTGCTAAGAGCAGTTTGAATTATTTGCCTCTTTTTGGTGGTGTTGAAAAGATGAAATCTTGTTATGGTGAAATGTGGTCTGCTGTACACTGCCCACACATTCTACACACTCTGCCGCAGGCATAATATGTGCTGTAATGGAGTTGTTATAAAGGACATTAATTTAGAGGTAGATTATAGGTAAGGGATATCTGTGCCCATTTTCCCTTTTGCTACAAAGTGTGGAGTTAGCAAAGCGCTCCTAACTACTTGGTACCAAAGATTCACATTGTAGGTTTCAGAGGGGTCTTCAGAATGAGGAGGGAAAAACCTGTTATCTTGGGAGAGAAGGAAATCTAAACTGCCCTAAATCCGGAAACGGTATTCAGGTAGTTTTTTTTTTTTTTTCCCCACTTTACCAAGATGAAATCTTTCCTAAGACTGTTTTTGATAGCTTATTTCTGTTTTTATTGCATGTGAGTTTCTTTTGCCTATTTTGTGGGAGGAATAAACACAATGAAGTTGGCCTGTCATGTGCACCAGTCTTTTGGGGGATGAAAACCAAACTGTATAATTTATTTTATCTTATCTTTGCTTACTACTGTTTTAAGATTCCCCCTCTATTCATTTTTCAAATTCATGGTTGCGTCTTGTAATTTTTTCCTGATAGGCATGTGTCTATTAGGAATTGGTGTTATATGCCCTGATATTACAGTGGATTACATAATATTCTTCCTTTAGGGAGTAATGGTTTTTATATAAATCTTAGAAGTAATAATATTGTCTAGCACCACAGAGTCTATTACTGATATACCATCTTGTAATGAAATCTAAGATACATGCTTTGAAAGGAAATTCTTTAGGAAGCTAATTTTGTTTAGTGGGTTAGTTTCTGAGTTTTCAATTTATGGATAAGAATTACTTATTTGGTACTCTAACAGTACAATAAAATTAATTTATATACCTAAATACATAAATGCCCGTGATTCTTTTAGAGGGTTATATGAAAATGAGCCATAAATGACTGGCCCTGAAATGATTCAGTCGTAATTACAGAATTCTAAGGCTAGTGAAGGTGTGAGCTACACTAGCAAAGGGCATAGGAGAATTACGTTTAGATATTGAGGTCGGCTAAACCAGTATATAGGCAAAAACAGTGAAATCACCTGATTAATATTTTTTTTTTTTTTTTTTTTTTGAGGGTTAGAAAGGAGTTCTGGGAGAAGTATTGAGATCCTTAATGTAAAAGCATTTGGAAAGATATAATGGATGAATAATAATTTTAGGGAAAGAGAGGAAGAGAAAAAAATCCCCAAAAGGAAGGGAGAGATGGAAAACAGGGAGACTGCAAGACAAGTGAGGGAAGAGGATAAGAGTAATGCTTAATTTTTGTATATGTATTTTATGCATGTATATAATTTTTCAGGGAGCTCTGGTAGCATAGTGCCTAAGGCACTTGACTGCTAACCAGGAGGCTGGCGGTTCATACCCACCAGCCACTCCTCGGAAGGAAGGTTGGGCAGTTCTACTTCCGTAGTGATACTGCCTCGGAAATCCAAGGAGGGGTCGCTATGAGTTGGGGCTGAGTCGACGGCAAATAACAACAACAATAATTATTCAAGTCAAAACTGTTTCCTTAGATACACAGATATCTCAGGCAAAAGCATATTTTTCTTGGCTTAATGGCCCAGTTTTAAGCTTCACTTTGTTAGTGTAGGTGTATGAAAACCAGTATCTGTAATCACAAACACAAAAACTAAAGGATGGCTGATTGGCAAAGATACTGCACATTAAAAGGGAGCTTTTTTCCTAGGCCTCCTTTGACAGAGAGGGGCCCTAAACTGGCCATTTGAATAGCCTCTTAACTGGACTTTTTTCTGGTATAATCTTTCAAACAAATTCTGCCAGGTTGCAGTCGCTGAAATGGGTTTTTTTTAAACATCATTTTGAGCATTTGACCCTATTTGGCATCCACCAAATACAGTGAAAACTTCTTTCTTGGTCTTCAAGACTTTTTACGGTTTCAGCACAACTTGCCATCTTGATTCATCCTATCATCATTTGTAAGCATCTTTGAAGTAATCTGTGTTCAAGGCACTGTCAGTGTTCCAGTGTTGTTGTTGTTTTTTTTTAAATGAAAAAGGTGTCAAGTTGGTGATGTAGGAATTAGAGGCAAAATTGATCTCTGAGAGTTGAGTTGTTTGGGGAAGGCCTTTGAGGTGGGAGAGAGTGCAAACCAGCCATTGTTGAAAGGTTGCAGAGGTTGTGCACTCCCCAACACTGACATGGTGTCATTTATACAAATTATAATGTACTATAATCAATGCCTTTGTAAGCAGCAGTCAAGAAATCAAATGATGTATTACATTGGGAAATCTACTGCAAAAGACCTCTTTAAAGTGTTAAAGGGCAAAGATGTCACCTTAAGGATTAAGGTGCACCTGACCCAAACCATGGTATTTTCAATACCTCATAAGCATGCAAAAGCTGGACAGTGAATAAGGAAGACTTGAAGAATTAGTGATGCCTTTGAATTATGGTGTTGGTGAAGAATATCGGATATACCATGGACTGCCAGAAGAATGAACACATCTGTCTTAGAAGGAGTACAGCCAGAATGCTCCTTAGAAGGGAGGATGGTGAGACTGTCTTACATATTTTGGATACGTTATCAGGAGGAACCCAGTCCTTGGAGAAGAACATCATGCTTGGTAAAGTAGAGGGTCGGTGAAAAGAATAAGACCTTTGGTGAGATGGATTGACACAGTGGCTGCAACAGTGGGCTCAAGCATAGTAATGACCAGGCCGGGGCAGGCAGTGTTTCATTCTTTTGTACATAGAGTTGCTATGAGTCAGAACTGACTCAATCGCTTCTAACAACAGCAACAATGTACTATATAACCGCGCAAACATATGTTCTCCCCTGGGAACGAAATAAGGAGAATTTTCCTGGTAAGAAACAGCATAAGCATAGGCATGAAATTTATATATTATGTTTAGGGAGTCCAATGATGGAGTGAGAGGTAGATTAGAGAGTAGATGGTAGAAGGCCTTGAATGCCAGGGAGAGTAATTTATTTTGCATATACTTGTTAGCATCGGCAGTTTTGTGAGTGTAGAGGTGAGTGGGTTATACATATAAAATAATAAATGTGGTAAGATGTGCACTGTGAGTGGGAGCCCCAATACTGTGGCCTTGGGATATACTTCCGGTCTGGAATAAAACTCACTCCTAGGGACTGGCTCTCAGCCCTATAGTAAATAAGACTTACACGCAGATCACTCAATCCAGAATGATGCACCCACATATTCTATGGAGATGTATCCCTTGGAGCAGTCGACCACAGGGCACCAGAGGGGCAGCATTGACACGGAGGAAATGCAGGACACCCAGGAGTGCGTAACTATGAGGAGCACAGGATGGGGGGTTACTGGGAAGGGAGGGGAGGAGAGTGGGTTAGGGTTGGGATGATAATTGGGGAGTGAAATCAAATGTACATGAAATGTTGAATGTAAAACAAACTCTCCTCTGTAAATTTGTACCTAAAGCATAATACAAATAAACTAATAAATAATATGAAAAAAAAAAAGATATGCACTGTGAATTGGAGATGGGGAGAAATTGTAAATAGGAGGATGAATTTGGAGATCTCTGCAGAGGGAGGAAACAAGAACGTGGATTGTGGTGGTGAAATTCAAGAAGAAATGATAACTCTGGGAAATCTTAAAAAGAATGAAAAATAATCCAGGGTGTTGATACAAGCATCAGGGACTGATTAAGTGGATTCCCGGGAGCTAGGAGTACACACCACCACTTGCAGGTTCCACTTACCCCAGCTAGCCTGTTCACTTGTTCCTGAACCATCTGGATGCCCCTTCCTGTAAAATCCCTTGCCTATTCTTGAAATTGGATCATCCATCAAGCCCAACTCGGATTTGGTTTCTTTTTTGAAGCCTTTCAAAATGACTCATAGCAACCCCTCCTTGAGTTTCTAAGGTGGTATTGCTACGGAAGTAGATTGCCCAGTCTTCCTTCAAGGAGTATCTGGTGGGTTTGAACTGCTAGCCTTCTAGTTAGCAGTCAAATGCCTTAGGCACTAGGCTACCAGAGCTCGATGATTACTGTTCTGGTTACTTAGTACTGCTCTAACAAGAATATACGAAAAATGGGATAGAACAAACAGGAGTTAATTCTGTTCTACAGTTCAGGAGGCTAAAAGTCCAAGTTCAAAGTGCAAGGCTCCAGGGGCTGTGTAAAAGCCCCTCGACCCTGGGCTTAAGCTTTGCCGCTTGTTCCCGGCCCACAAGCTAGAGGCATCTCTTCACTCAGGCAGCTACTGGCTGCTGAGGCTAACAAGCCCAAGGTCGACAAATAGAATGGCATAGTCCTGATGTTACCAAACCACACGGCAGGCCATTCATTCAAGTCCACTGACAGTCCCAGGGTCGGCAGATCATGGCAGGCTGCTGAGCAGCAACACAGCTACATGCATGGTTCAAGCGTGCCATAAGCTGGAGACCATTCCCAATGCTGTTTCTTATATACTGGAAGCAGACCACATAACCAAAGCAGCTACTCAGCTGCTCCAGTAGATTCCACCGTGGAGCTAATTACAAATCTCACCATGGGGAATAACTGCATTCAGCTGCCCAGCCACTCAACCAGGCCCAGCCAAGCTG